CAGCGCGGTGTAAGGGTATGGCAGGTTATGGCCCGTACCTCCAGGGAGCAGCACTCACAGCCTTCCTGGAGCCACTTTCTCTCCCCTCCCCATGGCCAATTGGGGCTACTGGGCACAGGACCAAGAAACCAACTCAATCCAGGCTGTTACACAAGGAAGGGGTGACTTTGTCTGGTTACAGAGTCCCCCCAGCTTGTGCCGTCTCCCAGGGCACCCAGGAGGAGACAGTTTCAGTGCAAGGCCCCTCAGCACGGCTGCAGCCGGTATTTCGCATGGTATCTGGGAGTGAACCACCCGCCCTCTGCAGCGCGCCCGACATCCTCCGTACCAGCAGCACCCGCACTGCCATCATGGCTGCTGCGCCTGTGGAGACCGTGCAGTCCATCAGGATGACGTGGTCTTCGCTGATGTCCTTCGGCAGCCGCAGGTAGTGGAGCTGGGCAGGGGGAAGAGAGATCGGCTTAGAGGCTGCAGGCTGCAGGCGAACGGAGCAACCCGAGCCCTTCTCTCAGAGAGCCAAGGATCTTTTCATCCATCTCTATCCCTGGGACCCCAGCTGTCAGCTTGGAGCCAGGCGCTGGTGCAAACACTCGGGCAGCAAACCAGCTCCTGCGGCGCAAACACGCTGGCAAAAGCCCACTTCAGAAGCTTTCAAAGCACTCACTTCGTGAGCACTCACCCCCTGCCAAGATCAACGCTTGGATCGCTGAAGAGCTCTCAGGAAATACCCGGGTCACCCCCTGCATGCAGGCTAATGCCGGGAGATGCCCTCGGCCTCCCAGGGCCCCGGATTTACCTCCGGCTCGCCCGTGTTGCAGTTGGTCTGGATGAGAATGGTCCCGATGCGGACGTCCTTGCACACCGCTCGCAGCGCTGGCTCCATGGTCTCGCCCGCCCGCAGGATGGACACCCCAGTGATCTGCAGCACAGAGCAAAGGGTGACCAGGGGGGCAGGATGCAGGAGGTGAAAACACCCCCCCACACCCCCACACCCCCCTGCCATTGGGCCTCGACAGCTGGGGGGCTCTAACAGGCAACCCCAAAGCAACACCCCTTCCAAGAGGGTTGTGCTGCTCCCAGTTCAGGCTGCCTCCTCAGTGGGAGGGCAGCAGTGGCACAGTGACATTGCTGATGGCACCCTCTGGCCACCAACCTGCTGCCCACCCCGATGGTACGGGGGTACCATACTCAGGACAGCAGGCACCAAACCCAGGCCTGATGGAAGCCCCGAGAAGCCAGGGGTGTCCTTCCCCCGTGCCCACGGGGCTGTCAACGCGGGGCAGGGTTGAATAGTAAGTGCCTTTTGCTTCCACTTACTTGCTTCCCGCTGTATGTCCTCCCTTCATAGTCCTGTCCCTGGGGGGTCTGGACTGTGCAACTCTACAAAAACCACGTGAGAAGCATTAACCGGGGGCTCTGACGTGGCTCTCGGAGGAGCCTTGGTACTGGGGACCCAGGTCGGTCTGGACCCTTGGAAACCGAGGCTGGACAAAGAGCTGTCACCCAGGGCCACCCCATTGCTCCACAGCCTCAGGGAGCCCTGACCCTTTTTAATGGAGGAGGAAAGGGCTGGTACACGGGGAAGGTCAGAGGAGCAGTGCCAGGACTGTCCCAGCTCCCCGTCAGTAATGGGTTAGGAATCGGAGAGGAAACACAGCGCCTGCTGCCCGTCCTCCCAGCTACACCCCTGAACCCACCTGGAACGGCAGCAAGGAGAGCGCGTGCTCTATCAGCAACCGCATCAGCCTCTTGGAGTAGAAAATGAACTCGTCTCTGCTGGTCTCTTTGTTTCTAGAGGGGAGGGAAAGGCAGGGTAAGCTGTGGACCAAAACGTGCCCCAGGAGATGCTGGCAGAGGTGAGAGGCTGTGTGGAGGAGAGCAGCCCCTGCCCCTGTCCGGCTGTCAGCGTTCTGTTTGTATGGGCTCCACCAGCTGAGTCTGGAATTGCGGTGCCAGTTTTAAGGTAAAAGGCAGAAAAATTGTCATCAAGACCATGGAGCGCTCACAGCGCAGCTCCTGTACCCAGGGCCTACCACCATCCGTGCTGTCCCATGGCCCCAGGACAGGGCACGAGAGGGATTTGGGAGTCCAAAGCAAGCTGAGCCTGCCCCAGCTAAGCCCCATCCCACCCCAGGAGGCCGTGGGGGGGGGGGCTTTACCTGATGATGGTGTGCATGCCCCTCACCTGAGGGGTACTCTTCAGCACGCTGAGGGTCTGAGGGAGGGGGTGGCACTGGTGGGCAGAGGCCAGGGCGGCCCTGAAAACCAAACAGACGGTCAGAAGGTCTCTGGGCAAGGCTGCCCGAAGGCTGGAGCACAGCACACGGCCGGAGCCATCTCCCCAGATGTCATCTCACACTGCAAGCGCACACCAAGGCCATCCAGCCAAGCCGAACGAGTGGCCAGCCCTGCCCAGTCCCCTGCCACGGCAAAGGGACCTGCTCCCATGAAGGGGTGGTCAGTGGAGCCAGGGCAACCTCACAGCCCAAGGACCTGGGCAGCTGACCCGTGGCTGGCCCATTTTGGTGTCCACTGGTTGGGAAGAAAGTGGAAAATAAAATCAAAACCTTCTCCTGCTTGGGAGTCGTATCTGGTGGTGGATCCTGAACCCATGGGGCGAGGAGGAGCTGTTGCAGTTGTCTCTGTCCCACAAGTGCCAGACGTCACCAGGAATGGGACGGGCAGCCAGGCCCACGGCGCTGGCACATGGCTCAATGCGGAGCCAGGCTGCAATGAGACCATTTCAGAGAGCCCCTGGCCCATTCAAGGATCGTCACCAAATTGGGAACAGCTTCAAGACTTTACGGCTGGACAGGACTGGCTTTGTGTGACTCATCTCCACATAACTAATAGGGCTGGGAGCTATTCTTGGATCAAGGGAACACCATTCATGGGGAAGCGCACAATGGAGCCCCGTTAGTCACCTCGCTCTTTGAGAGCGGCAGTAACGAGATGAAGGTCACATCTATTTGGCTTCCACAAGGCTGGGCAGGGTGGACAAGCGACTTTGTCTGGGAGGAGGGCTGGGGTCCGAAAGCCACACGTCAGATCACACACGTGCCAGCGGCTGCATCCCGGTCAGAGAGATGTTGGGGAGGAGGAGGAGAGAGCAAACAAACAAAAGCACCGGGTGATTAAGACTTCAAATCAAGCAGAAACCTGAATGAATTGCACACGCACACACAGGGGCACGCAAGCAGAGAAGAAGACAGAGAAGATGACTGGGTAGGAATGGAGGAGGGCAGGGCTAGATGACTCGAGGCCTCCATCCACATAGCCATCTCCTGGTCTTGGCTGACCAACACCAAACGAGACATTCCCAAGGCCTGTGGGTACTTAAGGGCTCCTTCTTGCTTTGGCCAGCTCCAGTCCTCGCGTAGCAGCAAAGAGCCCCTACGCAGGGAACGCTCCTGGGAGCACAGACAGCTCGCAGCCAGGCAGAGCGCGCGGGACGGGTGGTGCTCCCACCGCCGGCTGGGTTGGGGCCAAGCCCAGCGCGCTCCTGCCACCCGCAGACCCCATCACCCCTTTGGGACAAGCAGCAGCCCTCAAGGCCCCGGACCTGCGGTCAGCGAGGCGGGCTCGCTCTGTTAGTCGCCGCGGCTCGGGTTAGCCGCCTTCGGAGATGCTCCCACGCCAGGGCTGTGCTGCTGGCAGCACCCAGCAGCTCTGCCCCCGCAGCCCCCCTCGCCCCTTCCTCCTGCCAGACCTGGCCCGGGGACAGATTCTGGACACACAGTTGCCATCCAGCCCTGCCTAAGCCCCTCCTGGCCCCAGGGACACAGACCCACACGGCGGGTGAGGACCTGAGCCCTGCCTTTGGTGGACGCTGGCGCCTGCACACGGGCTGGCCTCTTGCCCTGC